TCACAATCTTAGTAATTTATTGAATGAAATTATTCAAATTACACGAGAATACCTTAGGGTTCCGCTAATCAATTGACAGTTTTTTTTTTTTTTTGCGTATAAGATAGTTTTGAAACCTATACGGGCTTTCCTTTTAGCTTATAAAACGCGCCTTCAGATAACTGCGTTTTTGTTTTTGAACAGGAAAGCACCTTCAGATCACAGTTAGTTATTCTCCCTCCTCAGTATATTAATGATAGCTTAGTGTCTGTTTCTTCTTCGAGTTCACCGGCTGCAAACTGGGGCAAACAAATTTTGGTGTTGGTCTATTTTTTTACTTTTATCATGTTCTAGAATTTGAATTTTGCTTGCACATTCGTTTTACAGATGTACCCTATTTGTATGCAGACTGTTGATTCCTCACCTCCAATGCAGATGCACTCCGACTTTAAAGGAAGCATCCTTTTACGACATGCTTGTTAGGGGGACAGTGGTTTTGTTCTTTTTCTCCCACCTCAGAGTGGAGCCCTGAAACCCAAACTGGGAATAAATAAATAAATACCTTGATGGCTTGGTCATATGTGTGGATCGGGACAAGATCACCGACCTGGTCCGTGATTCTGCTCATCTTATAGGAGAGCGAATCAACACCACCTGTACTTATCGGCACATGACGATGATGCCGTTACCAGGAGGAATGGGTGCCGAGAGATTCCTTTCATTGAAAAAGGAGCCGGTGGGTATCTACTAGGGCTGTACCGAATAGTGATTTTCACTATTCGGCCGAATGCGAATAGCTGAACCAACTATTCGGCCGAATACGAATACGAATAGTGCATAATAAAAATATATAAATGTATATATATGTATACAATATATGTTTTTTAAAAAACACACACACACATTCATAATGTTAAGTGTGCGCTGAACTTTTACTTCACATAAAGTAGCACAGAATAGTCATCTTCTTCTTTAGCATTCTGAGCACTTGAGGTTTACTGTTGCAGATATCACTCGTCTCCATTTATCTCTCTGGCTGACCTTATCTTCACAATTTGTGACACCAGTTGTTTGCAGGTCTGGTTGGACATTATCTCTCGAACTTATTTTTTGTCTGCCTCGTGGTCTACGCCCATTCCTCTCTCATGTGTATACAGTTTTTACTTCTCTATCATCTGACATTCTTTCAATATGCCCCAACCATTTTAGTTTGTTATAACTGATGCCAGTGATCAATGGTGATTTAAACAGATTATGTATTACGTTGTTGTTTCTTGTATCCGTTCCCCGCTCTTAGTATCTTTGATGGGTCCAAAGATTTGTCGTAAGACTGTTTTCGAAATCCTGTAAAAAGGCGTTATCACTTTTAGTTGTGCTTCAAGTTTCAGAGCCGTAAAAAAAAAAAAACGACTGGTCTTTTCAACGTTTTATATATTTTGATCTTGTTGTTGCGAGACAGACACTTTGACTTTAGCAGATGTTGAAGGGCATAGTATATTTTATTTCTAGATTGTATTCTAGAGTGTATTTCTTCACTCAGCATGTTGGAACAGTTGAAGTTTGCACCCAAGTACTTATATGTTTCCGTTTGTTATTGTCAACTTGGATGTGGCCGGAGTTTATATTCTTTCGGCCCGACCACAACTATTCGGCCGAATACCGAATAGTCAATAGGTCCACTATTCGGGACGGAAGCGAATACGAAGCGAATATTCGGTACAGCCCTAGTATCTACACAGAGTAGCATATGGCCCCGATGTCCGTTGCGGCTTCAGGAGAAAACCTGCCCAGCAGCCTGTGTGTCAAGATGACAGTGGTTAAGATATTGAAGTATTTCATTTGTTTTGTCTCTGACTTGCTCTTTTCCCACCAAATGTTATCGTGCGAAAACTTTCAAGGAAACACGACCAATCGCTCAGTCAGAATGCCCTTTACAGAACGTCGCTCTCTTCACGGCACGCTTTCAAGGTCTCTCTAGCCTGTTCTCCAGCCTTGTTTGCTTTCATAGCCAATGTATCTTATACGATTTATATCTATCTTTGCAGAGGTCAGCCTCCGTTGCATTTTCAAAACTATATCCTCTGTCTTCAGACCACAATGGTGCAAAATGGTCCACAATAGTCCAAAATACACCAGCCTACGGTAGAGTATGATTGTGGCTAAAATAGAAAAAGAAAATAAGGAACGTAATAATTATCCCCCCCCCCCCTTCCCCCCCCCCCCCGCCCCTTTTCAAAAACTAGAAAAGCAACAACAAGAACTGAAATTATGTGTAATAAATCGACACTGGCCACCAGGCTGGATGCACCATTTTTTTTTCTTCCAAATAACACACAGCCCCTGAGCTAGTATTTTGGTCTCATACACGGGAACTGCTGGACGCTACCACTAATTCCAAGTTCCAAGCACAAGCCAATCCATTCAGGACAGCTTGTAGTTAGTTGGTTGTTGGTTGTCACAGTGCGCCTGTTCACGTCCGTTGGCTTAATGTTAATACGTGACTGACTGTATTCAATTAATGAATGTTCTCACTCATTTACCGAGGACTAGTCAGCGTGACTTTGAAATAAACATAAGCCCGGGTCCTGAAACATGTGAGATTAGCTATCTATGTACACACGGAAGTTGTATTATGTGTTGCACGTAGTGCACAGCTTGCAGGATTCAAGGGAAAAAGTGTTTTGGGCATTGGTGTAGGAGTGGGAGAGTTGCGGTCCGCCCCGGATGTCGTTAATAGGGGGAGCGGGGGGGGGGGGGGTGGAGTTAAGAACGAGGTGTACATATAGCTACAAAAGTACACTCGGGACACACTAATTAGCACTCAGTCTTTTTTCAACAGATATATGTATATATTTGCACACTCACATGCGTAAACCCATAAATATAGACACACATGTGAACACCCAAAGATACATGCACACATGTTTAAAAAAAAATGTGTCAGTACATATAAACATGTCTTTGAATAGGGGTGTGTTCACACGGCAATGAAAGCAAATTTAAGATGGCTTTCATGTCTTTGAAAGCATTAAGAGTCAATGGTAGGCCAGGTTGCTACCTGTTTTCTGTATGAAATAATCTGGTACAAGGGTTCCTAAGCTGTTGTGGAAAGCCAAGGACGGGCCGTTCTGATCCAAGTCTGCGATAATGGCAATCTCAAATAGATGTTGTCATCAGCTCACTGGGTGAGTGAGTTAGTGATATACTTACTGATTCTAATAAGCATGTCATATAAACTGACTAATTAAAGGTGTTTCCTTTAAACTCAGGGCATTCACCTGAGAAGCAAGGAATCAACATTCTGCATCCAAATAGGCCAGATCTGTAAAACAGATGTGCACACAAAACTCTGAACACGAGGAAGGTTCAGAAAAAAAAAAGAACAGCGCTAAGTACCCACTTCCCCCAATTAGTATAATTAGTTGCAGGTAGCTTATATTAGACATCAGTCTAGAGACTTTACGTTTCAGTAGGACTACAAAGGGATACCAGCCTACCTTAATGATGCTGTCAAGTCTGCATCTGTCCTGACTTGAAATAACAAAAAGCCAGTGCTTCATCTTAGGGTGTATGTATTGTCAGGAAACATAGTTTTTTTTTCTTTTGGCTAGACATAACAAGACTGTCTGTGGTGATGGGTGAAAATATGGGAAGTTGTTCACATACCTACCATGACCTGGAGGCTCAGGTAAGGGGGAACCACATTGGAAACCAAACAGCCACACCCAGAATTATCTGGGCTTGATGCTTGCTTACTAGTCTGAAGACCTTAAGTTCAAATTGCATCAGGGTGGATTTTTATAACTTATCTATGGCTCCCAGGTCGATTCAGCATTCAGTGAGTTGGAAGTAAAGATGGTCATCATCATGTTGACCACATCAGTGCCATTTGGTTTTTAAAATGTGTCCAATGCACCAGTGATGTGGACAGAATCTTTTGTTTTTTCCTCCAAGTAGTTACCAATGTGAACTATTCATTGTTTCCTCCAAGTAGTTAACAGTGTCAACTATTCATTGTTTCCTCCAAATAGTTAACAGTGTGAACTATTCATTGTTTCCTCCAAGTAGTTAACAGTGTGAACTATTCATTGTTTCCTCCAAGTAGTTAACAGTGTGAACTATTCATTGTTTCCTCCAAGTAGTTAACAATGTGAACTATTCATTGTTTCCTCCAAGTAGTTAACAGTGTGAACTATTCATTGTTTCCTCCAGGTAGTTAACAGTGTGAACTATTCATTGTTTCCTCCAAGTAGTTAACAGTGGGAACTACTCATTGTTTCCTCCAAGTAGTTAACAGTGTGAACTATTCATTGTTTCCTCCAAGTAGTTAACAATGTGAACTATTCATTGTTTCCTCCAAGTAGTTAACAGTGTGAACTATTCATTGTTTCTTCCAAGTAGTTAACAGTGGGAACTATTCATTGTTTCCTCCAAGTAGTTAACAGTGGGAACTATTCATTGTTTCTTCCAAGTATTTAACAGTGTGAACCATTCATTGTTTCCTCCAAGTAGTTAACAATGGGAACTACTCATTGTTTCCTCCAAGTAGTTAACAGTGTGAACTATTCATTGTTTCCTCCAAGTAGTTAACAGTGTGAACTATTCATTGTTTTATCCAAGTAGTTAACAGTGTGAACTATTCATTGTTTCTTCCAGGTAGTTAACAGTGTGAACTATTCATTGTTTCCTCCAAGTAGTTAACAGTGTGAACTATTCATTGTTTCTTCCAGGTAGTTAACAGTGTGAACTATTCATTGTTTTCTCCAAGTAGTTAACAGTCTGTATTTAGGCATGCGAAGCATGTGCAGCTGCACAGAATGGCAACATTTCAGTGGTCACAGAATGTGAAGAGCGTTAAAATCTAGTAGTAAAAGTTTAATAAATAAAGTGAGGCATAAAATTAATGACTGTACACGGGCATCATAGATCCTAAATAGTGGCCTGACCACGTGTGAGACACAGAAAGCATGCATCTGTGACATGATGTCACTGGCTGATGAGTTTTCTGTCTCTTCCTGCAGTTGTCCACACCACAGCCAATTACTGTTCGGACTGAGAAGCCCAGAGTCAGACCAGCTAGAGCCTCTAATGTACCTACTGTGTTGACGCATGCACACAGCATGCCTGATAATCTGGACAAGCTGACACGCAAGAAGAACTACTTCAGTCTCATTGGTGTGTACAATCATCAACTTCTCTTGCCATTACATGTTTAGTTATTCTCTGTCCACTTCTGCCAGTTGTATGTTCAATATATTTCCATCTTCTTTTTCCTGATAGTTGTTTATACACGCTGTTGTCTAAACATTTCTCTTGTCTTCCCACCTCTTGAATTCATTCCATTTAATAATCTTCATCAATTTCCTTGTGCATTTCGTTTTTATGTTTTTTTCTATGTGATTTGTGGTTCTTCAGCTTTCACTGGAAAATCTTTAAAGTGAAATAACTTTAGAATTGAAAATACATAAATTGGTTTTAGAATGTATAATTTATAGTTCCATTTTTTTGGTAAGCATTGCCTACATTGTATATAAATGTCACTTCTGGTTTGTGCATATTTACCATTTTTGCTCATTTAATGTACATTTACATTTACAATTGTGTATATTACATTAAACACACCCATTTTTTTGGTCTATATACATTTACAGTTTTTGCTTGTTAAATATGTATTTACAGTTGTGTGTAGCAAATATCCACAGTGAGCTGTTGGTTGTATAGACATTTACAGTTTGTTGTATAGACATTTACAGTTTGTTGTATAAACATTCTACATGATTTCACATATTTGTGTGCTTTCATAAATGTGATTTTAATATTTAACAGTTATTCACATAATATTTAAAAAATTTGGTGTCACCAACTAGGCAGAGAAGGCCAGCCATAGAGATAAATGGAGGCGGGTGATATCGGCAGCAATGAACTTCAAGGGCTCAAAATGCTGAGGAAGAAGAAGAAGATACACATAATAAATGGCTGCCTTGTAGTAGAGATGGCAAAGAAACATAACATAACAAATAATTGAAGAATTTTACCCTGGAAAAGAATCAGTTTAACTTTCTCCATCAAGATGGAATGCTCTGTGTGTTTATTGATTATTTTAATCAGTGTATACTTTTCTCAACTTCTTATGTATTATTCCTGTCCTGTGTTCATCTGTCTGACTAAACTGATGCTGTAAGTTGTTCTGTCATATATATGAATTATATCAACAGATTATCTTCTTCTTCTTCGCGTTCACCAGCTGCACACTCTGGCAGAAAGTTCTGGTTGCTCGTCCACTACTGAACTGCAGTCCTGCTCTAGAACCTGAGTGTTGCGTGTGCATCAGTTTTACAGATCTAATTCTCTTGAATACAGACTGTTGGTTTCTTGCCTCTCTGGCAGATGCACTCCGACTTCAAATGAAGCTCCCCAATTAGTCGACTTTTACGACATGCTTTTGGAGAGGCAGTGTCAACAGATTATGATTGTTGCTGTATAGTAGAGAATCACTGGAATACTAATGTGGTGGAGTTAAAACTGCCTTATACTTTACAGAGTTCAGTAAACATAAACTGGTCTAGATAAAAGAAGAGAAACAGAGGTAATTGGTTTCCTGCGAAAATAAACAGGGATATTTAGTTTTCTGTCAAAAGAAAAACATACATTGATCTAATCATCTATTGATTTCAGATTCTGATTCTCAAAGTATCACCAGCCAGCAGAGTAACTGTGATAATTCTTCAGATGAGTCTGAGTATTCCATGGACTACCATGATGAGAAGTCACTGAGTAGAAGGTCATCACATGTCATGCTAGCTGCCATTGATCAGGTGTGGGGGAATGATTCACAAATAGTTTACAACTAACCACATCTGCTGCTGCTTTCCTTACTCTCCTGCTTTATCTGTTCATGATCACCCAAAGTCACATTCTTATTTCCACACATGTAGGTACACCAGGCATACAATGATAGTCTTATATTTCTAAACACAAGCTGATATTCAGTGCCTGAGGTGGTCAGTATCTTCGCTGGCCGCATTTACTTCCAAGGGCATGTCCTTAACTTATACACATTTAAGGCTGGGTCAATTTTTTAAAAATCCTCACAGTGAGGATTTGAATTTATGACCTGAATAAAATATCTAGCATCAGTTTGTTCTATCTGTGTGTAGAAAGAATAGTTAAAGACATCAACATATGATTGATAAAAGCATATCAGGTACTTGTACAACTAATACCACTTTTGACAAATAGAAGGATCCTTTGTCTAGTGTGTAAAGTAAAGACCCTTGTCCACACCTTTAGGCGTATTTGGTATATATGGCTAGACCTATATTTTATAGACCAATCGGCACTGGTCGGGTGATGTGGTCAGACTTTACTTCTCAGGTCTTTACCTGGTACCCACTCAAAGATAAGTCAACCTGGGAGCCAAGGTTATTTTTGAAAAAAAAAGTTTAGCTCCAGCAGAATCTGAACTTATGACCTACCAATTCGCAGTCGAGTGTCCAACTGCTTCACCACAGTGGCTTTCTTTGTCTACTAAGGCATATCTAACTTGTTACTTTTTTCCTTGCAGCCTCATGCCACCAGTGTTAAATATGGATCCTTACTACAAAGGGGAAGACCATGTGAAATAATCCAAGTCTTGATATGATTAAAAAGTTAGAGTAGTTGCTCTAGAATCCAAGTCTTGAAATGATAAAGGTGTTAGAGTGGTTGCTCTAGAATCCAAGTCTTGATATCATGAAGATGTTAGAGTAGTTGGTCCAGAATCCAAGTCTTGATATAAGTGTTAGAGTAGTTGGTCTAGAATCCAAGTCTTGATATAAGTGTTAGAGTAGTTGGTCTAGAATCCAAGTCTTGATATAAGTGTTAGAGTAGTTGGTCTAGAATCCAAGTCTTGATATAAGTGTTAGAGTAGTTGGTCTAGAATCCAAGTCTTCATATGATTTAAAAGTTAGAGTAATTGCTCTAGAATCCAAGTGTTGATATGATAAAGGTGTTAAAGCAGTTGGTCTAGAATCCAGGTCTTGATATGATGAAGGTGTCAGTTGCTCCAGAATCCAAGTCTTGATATGAAAAAGGTGTTAGAGTGGTTGCTCTAGAATCCAGGTCTTGATATGATGAAGGTGTCAGTTGCTCCAGAATCCAAGTCTTGATATGAAAAAGGTGTTAGAGTGGTTGCTCTAGAATCCAGGTCTTGATATGATGAAGGTGTCAGTTGCTCCAGAATCCAAGTCTTGATATGAAAAAGGTGTTAGAGTAGTTAGTCCAGAATCCAGGTCTTGATATGATAAAGGTGTTAGAGTAGTTGCTCTAGAATCCAGGTCTTGGTATGATAAAGGTGTTAGAGTAGTTGCTCTAGAATCCAGGTCTTGTTATGATAAAGGTTCACCCAAGGAGAGGTCACAGAAACCCCCTTCAACCATTAGATTATATAAAAGCCCTCAGTAACAAACAGGGTGGAACTTCAAAATAACGAAAAATTAGTCCCACAATGGGACAGAGATTGAGGAATTGCTCTGGAGTCCATGTCTTTATAAGATGAGTGTGTTAAAGTACTGCAATCCCACTGCGTGAGCAGTTTTTGAAAACCAATTGTTGGTTATCCCTGGTGTTTGAATTTATAAGGTTTTCACTCCCCAAAAAAAAAATTAGCTAGCTGTAGTAACAACTGAGGCATTCCCATAAATCCTGCATCCCCAACATTAGCAGCAAGAATGAAAGTATAATAGCCATATGCCATCTGATTATATGTCTGTCTTGCCGTTTCTGAAGCACTGAGTTGTCATCTAGATCCTGCGGTCACTGCAAACTCCATCACTCTTTTTTTTTAGTGTGATGATCTTTTTGCTCAGCTGCATTAGTCATGTCCTGTCAAAGATTATAGACTACATCTGCCGTCTGATACATCAATTTATTACCCATAGTGCAGAAAAAGCATTTATGTGGTTTGCATGTATTCGGTCATTTTGGTGCACCAAAGCAGTACAATAGCTATTAACTATTTCATGGCTAGGAATGCTAAAGCAGTTTCTATTACTTGCTTTGAACAGCAGTGTACACCAGATAGTACTTAATGTAGCTGTTATGGGTGTGCTAATTATATCTTCAAAATAGGTTGAAGAGGTTATATGAGATTTGTCTTGTTGGTTTGCCTTCCAGTAGGTAACTCTTGAAGTTGCAAGGATGGTCAAACCTTCAGGTGACAGCCCAGAGGGAAAGCAGACAGGAAACAATTCTATGACATACCATTCCATGACTGAGTGATCCACTGCCTTACAAAGCACTACTAATAACTCATATATCATGCTGTGAGAGACCAGTATCCCTACCTCTGAATCACTACTTACACACATTTGTATGCTTTAATCAAAAGCTGTTTTTGTATTTTCTTCAAGATGCTAGTACAAGAGAATCTGACCCTTGCTGAAGCACTTTGGGACCATGTGACCATGGATCCTGATGAACTGGCATTCAGAGCTGGGGATCTGATTAATATCACAGATGGGTCAGACAAACATTGGTGGTTTGGTGAGCTGGATGGCAGTGAAGGCTGGTTTCCTGCCACCTTCGTCAGAGTGAGTTTTGCTTGTCTAGTAGATTACATGTTTTGCTATATGCTAACATTAAATCTTTAAGCCACTCCATCTTTTTACAAACTGTTTTATTTTATATTACCATATTCTCTGTGAAACGTGCGATGTTGAAACATGCTTGGTTCCCATTGAAACGTGCACCACTGGATGCCGAGAGGCGTAGGTCCCTTTACCACGTGCGATCAGGTACCAAAATGAGTGCAGTATAGAGATATTACAATGCCACCAGCCAAATGTGGTAGAACAGTCAGAGATCAAATCCAACGATGAAACAGGAAGCCTATAACATTAACAGTGAACTTCAATGTGCCCAACCAGGAGTTAAATGCTGGATATATAGGGTATCCAAATGGTGTATTGACAAACACTTTGATCCAAAATGAGAAAATGTGCAAATAATCCATTAAATGGTGAAGACTCACCCAAACACGTCAACACTCTCTACCGCACACACACTCGTCCAGAGAAATTCCAATGACATCTTCAAACAACGGGTCAACAGTACGACCTTGAGAGTCTAGACGGTCACATCGATCTCCTCTTGTGCAGTCAGATACTTGATATCAGGGCAATGTCCCTCCTTAGTGATTCAGCTGAGAGATCCATTAGTTTTAAATATTCCGGCTTCCTGCTGAGCGCAATAATCAATGTACCAGCTCCTAGCTGAGGTTCCTACGTGGAATTCTGGGGTAGAACTTCCTCAGGGATCCATTGAGACACGACCACACGTCTGTCTTCTTCAAACTTTCATCTCTGAATCTCCTAGTATTTCATCACAGCTTGAAAAGATGGCAGTCAACACATAAGCTGGGGAATGAAGGTTTGGGATATCTATGATAACCAGTTAGCCACAGCACTTGAAGATAATGCATTACAAATTTTTAGTTATATTTTGCCTTCTCTTACACTGATTATTTATTCCCAGCCAAGTTACATTAGATGTAAAACTAGTAAATTATTGAGTGCATAAGGTTTTTGTTCTTGAAAGCAGGGTAGCTTTTGGGTGGGCACAGGTATTCAGTCCCTGTTCTTCACTGCCTTAAATGGATTAAATACAGACTGTATATATGTATATAAGTAGCAACACAATAAGTGGATATTGGTAATAAACAATTAACTCATGTTTCAAAGTCAGCAAAAGAGTCAAGAACAAAACAGGAAAAAGACTGCTGGGAGTCTTTCTCCTCTTGGGCCATACCTGTAGAGTGTCTGAAAAGTAATGGATTGAAACATTCACAGAAGAATGACTATTTTTAATGATTTGAAGTGTCCTGTTGTCACTCCATCTGAACATAATTGGTTTAAAGACATGATTTATTAGGGGAAATTCAGCTGTGACTTCCCTTGACTTCCGCCAGTTTGTTTATGGCTTAACTCCAAAAGTGTTTGTTTACAGAGACATACCCTGCAAGATGGGGGGGGGGGGGGGGGGGTTTGGGGCTTAACTCCAAAAGTGTTTGTTTACAGAGACATACCCTGCAAGATTGGGGGGGGGGGGGGTGTGTGAAGATTTTAATGGCGCCTTATACTCGCTAATGGTCATGTCACTGAGTTTTTAGGTATTTTATGGAGCAAGCTGTTCCACCAGCCAGCTTACCTCCTCTCAGTGACCACCACCTGTTTTGGTATGTGGCCGCCTAATCAATATATTTATGGCTAACCTTTAAACTAGAGGCTGCACCACCACCTGGTGGACACACCCAGTAGTAAGGCAGGCTCTAACCACAAGAATGCCATTACTTAACCATAATGGATATTATTTAGGCCTCTAGCACTTTACCACCAGTGATGATTGCTGGTTTTTCAGTACACCTCGCACCATAATCTTTGTTTTTATTTTTGTTGCTGATTGTTTGTCCAAATTTAAAACGGGCATCAGCGAATGCAGATAGTAAATAATTTATATGTTAATATAACAGGCCAGACATTTATCACATGTACTGACTGCTTGTTCTTCAAAATATATTTGTACGTTTGTCACCTAGCATATAAGAAGCTTCACCAGAACATTCTGCAGACCTTATGTGCACTATTCTTCTAGGGCTATGTCAAGCAGACAAGGAAGAGACCCGAGATGTTTCCTATTGAGAAAGTCACTATCATTTTCAGCAACATTGAGGACATCTACCTCTTTGCTACAGAACTGTTGGCTGAACTGGACAGATCTGTCATCCCTGACCAGCCTCATCTCAGTGAACTGGGACACTGCTTTCTGGACAAAGTATGAATGTTTTTGCTTGTATGTTTGTGTCAATAACTTAACTCTTTCACTACAAAGCAGTTGTTACTATAACTCCTCCTATAACTCCTCCTGTCCCAAGGAATTAAGCTTAGAAAGGAAAAACCAGTTAAGTTTGAAGTAATTCAACAGAGACACTGTGGAATAGAAGTGATAAAACTAATATTTTCTATGCACAATGTTAATAAAACATTTGTCTGTAATAGAAGACAGCAGAAATTACATATAATCTGTAGAACTGACCAAGAAATGAATGATGAGTTGTTTGGTACTGGAAGAGTTAGTAGAATTAAGAATCACATTTACACAGTAAGATCAGAGACACATGTAGACAATTATTTAGTCTGAGAACAGGTTTGAGAATATGTTTACAGCTGTGAAGGTTGGGAGTATTAAAGAGAGACAGAGAGAGACAGAGAGAGAGAGAGAGAGAATTGGTTACAGTCTGGCATGGAAGAGGATCAGCAGTGGGGTTTATCAGCAGCTGAGATAGCCAATGGTTGTGAAGGAGTGTGATTGCTGCCTTATCAAGGAGCACATTTACCACAAGGCGTCTTCAGCTGATTGTATGTGTATATCAGATTAACTGAAAATGTATAGACAGCGACATTAAGTTTGTGCATTATGCTGAGAGACTCATTGTGAGATTTGTAGGAGGCAACTGGGGCACTTGGGTATCTGTGTGTTGTGTTAACTGTATAAATTGTATATACATAGGTTGTCTTTCACAAACCATTCATAACACAGTACAGTAAAGAAAAACATAGTAAAGGACTCGTTTTCTAAGTCATATTGGGCAATCGTGTCATTAAAACTGAACCCTTCACTCATCAGGGAAAATGTATCATGGAACTACCTTTGTCTAACTGATAGATATCCTTTGTCTTCAACAATTGTGTTTGCTACTGTTCTGTTATATCTGTAAATCTTATATCTGTTTTTTTGTTATGCTATAATTTCCCAGAGAGCTTCAGTTTAGTGTAGTAAACAATCATCATCATCATCAAGTGCATTGCCGACTGGCTTGGGCAATCAAGCCTCTCTAATCTGCAGTCTTCAGCAGCATGTATCAGTTCAAGTGTTGACACCCCTCCATACCATGACAAAAGGCTGTCAAGAATCTTCTCACTTTGTCTTCCTCTGTCTCTTTTCCCACAGATCTTTCCATTGGTCACAACATTCCAGTTTCCTTCTTCTCATAAAATGACCAAAAAAATACAACTGTCTCTTTCTGATTTTTAGGGTATGTTTTTTTTGAGCCACCACGTCTTTCAAAACATCAGTGGACAATACACTCAAAAAAATTATGTGTTACTTATCAACATGTACTAAAGTAATTGAGGTTCAATAATGTACAATAAGCCACACACAAACACACGCATGCACACACACACGTAGAAATTCCCTAACCCAAACCACTCCATAGCTTTAAGGATGAAGTACTACAGATTGTTACAGGAAGTTGAGTGTGAATAATCATCATCATCATCATTCTGTTGCACTGTCTAAACATGCCAAGGAGCTTGCAAATGATTCCTCTGTGTCCTGTACTGTCCTTTCAGTGTCATGTATGAAAACCAGTCTAGCATTTCTAACCTCTTCATCATAGGGTTTCTCTTGAACATCCTCAGTCCATTTGTTTTTCCATTTCAGCACCTGTTTTGTGATTATTTGTCATCTTAGCATACGGCCAAAAATATATTAATGATAAATAGTCTTCATATTCAAAACAAATTAGCTGCTACCCTTTGCTAAGACAACAAATGGAAGTTATTCATCACCAAGCCATTGGCCATATTCTTACAGCCCTTGCCATGTGACATTGGTAATCATGTGAGTCCACAGCCTTCTGTCCCATGTACTGTCAGTTATTATTTCTGAACAGATGTACCCTACCAGGATGTGAAACTGACCAACATCTTCAGAAAGCAGTGGCAAACTACTGAATATATATTTGCCTAGAAACACCTGAACCGCCAAAAAATGTTAGGATTGGTTCTGCAACATCCTGCAAAGGATGCTCAACTAACTTTGCCAAATTATGTAATTCTTGTACAGGTGAGAAAGTTTGAGATGTACTCTGATTACTGCAACAATCATTCAGCTGCCTGTGAAGAGCTGAGAGAGTTGTATCGCAACAAGAGATATAGGCATTTCTTTGAGGTGATCTTGATTTTTACTTTCTTATTTATATGCAGTCTGTCTGTGTACCTGCTTCTGTTATCTGTCTGTCTGTATTTCTCTCTCTGCTAATTTCATTTATCTGTTTATGTCTGTATTTCTTTGTCTATCTTCCTTTTTGCATGACTGCCTGTATGTAAATGTACTTTTGTGTGTGTGTGTGTATGTATGATGTAGTGTGTGTGTGTGTGTGTGTGCGTGCATGTGTGAGTGAGTGAGTGAGTGAGTGAGTGAGTGAGTGAGTGAGTGAGTGAGTGAGTGAGTGAGTGAGTGAGTGAGTGAGTGAGTGAGTGAGTGAGTGAGTGAGTGAGTGAGTGAGTGAGTGAGTGAGTAAGTAAGTGAGAGAAAGAAAGAAAGGAAAAGGGGAGGGTTGGAGGGGATGGAGGAGAAAGTGGTGATTATAACACAGCAAAAAGAAGCTGAAAGAGAGAGAGGCTAAGAAGTGAAGAGATAGAAATGACATCATTGACATTTTGTTTTGTTAATCTTATTTATTTTTTATAGGTTGTTCAATTTAGCTCCTCTATTTGTGTGTGTTACATCTTTGTTTGTACATTTGTATAAAATGTAGAGTGCATTGTGATACCCAGTATATATATCCACAGTTTGATAGAACTGCCTATATACACAGACAGTAGAAACTGTATATTTAGATATGTTGATAAGAAGAGCAACTTAGTGCTTCTGTGTTTCCATAAAGTTTTGTGATTGTGGTTTGTTCATATGCATAGGTACACACACCCACACATACACATGCATGTGCACACACACACACACAGATATGCGCACACACACACACACACCCACGCACCCACCCACGCACACATTTGTATCATGCATGAGTACACACGCGTGCACCCATGCACGTACACACATGCACACAAAACAGTTCAAACAGAAAGTTTGGCAAGAGATCAGATGAACTTCTGATGTTTTCCCTTTTATCTAGTGAAGTTCTGAATGTATACGATTTTTATATGATCTTAGTAGAAGGAAAGCAATTTGAATTGACAAATGGGTAGTTTTGAAGGTAGAAGATGTTTTTGTTCATATAAATGCTACTGCCTTGCAACACTGAAAACACATTAATCAAGCATAAATGATTTACTAGTAACTAAGAACAAACCTGGTTGCCTGGTGACATAGGATTTTGAATATAGTAAATGTTTTCCTGTTCCAGGCTTGCAGACTTTTGCAGGAAATGATTGAAATTCCACTAGAAGGGTTCTTGCTAACTCCAGTACAGAAGATCTGCAAGTATCATCTTCAACTGGCAGAGCTGCTCAAGTTCACCAGCCCTGACCACCCAGACTTCCACAAAGTGCAGGCTGCCCTAGAAACCATGAAGAAGATTGCTATGCTGATTAATGAAAGGAAGAGAAAGATGGAGAGTGTAGAGAAGCTAGCAGCATGGCAGCTGTTGGTTGATGGCTGGGAGGTGAGTCTGCTTGGTTGATTTAAAAAAAAATTAGAATAGCCAGATACAGGATGAGCTTATAACGAAAATAAAACTTCGATCAAAGCAGCCAATGGCACACTTCCCATCCAGGACACCATTCTGAAGAGCCAGTCAACCTCTGAAAGCAACAGGAAAGCAACATGAAAGAAACATGAAAGAAACATGAAAGAAACATGAAAGAAACATGTAAGAAACATGAAAGAAACAGACTATTATATTCAGACTGCGTACTGGACACAACACACTCTGTAGCCATAGGTAGTGGAAATTCAAGACTGGGGATTCAGAATTGTGGCCGCGTGGACAGGCGCCACAGGATACTAAACGTGTGTTAAAGATATGCTCTCTACATACAGCAGAGATATCCCTGTTTGGCTGGTTGGCACTCCAATGGAAACCAAGCTGTGTGGAACAGTAAAAAGACATGTGTCGCACCACATAATTTATCATAGAGGACCGTAGCCTTCTTCTCTGAAAACCACTGGCCAGGGAGAAGGAAAAGAAGTAGGGGAGTTGATTAATAGGAGATGGATCTCATTAGTTCTACATGGCAGATGAGTCTGGTTCATGCCTGGCAGGCGAGTTTGCTTAATTGATTAATGGAAGATGGATCTGAGTAATTCATGCCTTGCAGATGAACCTATTTAATTGATAAATGGAAGATGGATGTGATTAGTTCCTGACAGATAAGTCTCGTTAGTTTATTATTGGGCGATAGGTTATTTTATTATTTGGAGATATAATTTGTGAGTTTTTGGCACAGATGAGTTTGGTTAGTTGATTACTGTGAGATGGACTGGTTAGTTAATTAATGGGAGATCAGTCAGGCTGGTTCTTGCCTGGTGTACATGTCTGGTTACTTGATTAATGGATCTGGCTGGTTCTTGCCTGGTGTACATGTCTGGTTACTTGATTAATGGATCAGGCTGGTTCTTGCCTGGTGTACATGTCTGGTTACTTGATTAATGGATCTGGCTGGAAGATACATTTAATTGATTAAAAAGAAATTGATCTGGTTAGCTCATAAGTCGGAGATGTGCCTGGAACATTGATTAGTTCAAGATGAATATGTTTAATTTAATAATGTTTGATGGAGTCTGGTTAGTTTATAAATGATAGGTCTCAGTAATTTATTAACTGAAAATTGTTTGCTGTAGGGTGATCCAGTATATCATAGAGTATATCACCTGTTAGGATTTTTTGAAATTATATGTTGACAAATTCATGTAGCCAGCAACAAATCAGTGTAGCCAGGTGAGATGGCACGATGGGGCTTTACAGCTAAATTGAGAGACAAAGATCATGGCAAAACAGAGTGTTTAAATGTAACATCCAGCATAAGAATGGAAGTGGAGGCAGTCACTGCAGATCTGAGCTTTCTCAGATTTCATTAAAAACAACAGTTATTATAACAGACTCTCAGTCAGTGCTCCAGAAGAATCATTCTGGATATTTCTTACATGAATGACTGACACACAGAATCTGGACATCAACAAGAGCTGGAAGGTCAACTGTTCAAGCTAGGCTGATGGGTAGGAAATTAAAGTGTCAGTTTGCTGGCCATTGGTGCACAACCAGGGATAACACTGAGGATGTATATGTAGGATGTGTTGTTCATACAGAACTACCTGGTGCGTACAAACACAAACATTTGACTGCATTTGGCTATAACTGATGCAGTCAGCAATCCAGTTCATTACTAAAAGGAAGAATTATGATCTAGGACAGAAGAGACTTGCCACTGTCGTTATAAATAGTGCTTAAAATCTTCTGACTGTGATTTTTTTTTACATCTTCTGACTGTGATACTTTAACATCTTCTGACTGTGATACTTTAACATCTTCTGACTGTGATACTTTAACATCTTCTGACTGTGATACTTTAACATCTTCTGACTGTGATGCTTTAACATCTTCTGACTGTGATGCTTTAATATCTTCTGACTGTGATGCTTTAACATCTTCTGACTGTGATGCTTTAACATCTTCTGACTGTGATGCTTTAACATCTTCTGACTGTGATGCTTTAACATCTTCTGACTGTGATGCTTTAAAATCTTCTAACAAAATCTTCTGACTGTGATACTGTGACTGTGATGCTTTAAAATCTTCTGACTTGATAAAAATCTTCTGACTGTGATGCTTTAATATCTTCTGACTGTGATACTTTAATATCTTCTGACTGTGATACTTTAACATCTTCTGACTGTGATGCTTTAAAATCTTCTGACTGTGATACTTTAACATCTTCTGACTGTGATGCTTTAACATCTTCTGACTGTGATACTTTAACATCTTCTGACTGTGATGCTTTAAAATCTTCTTACTGTGATGCTTTAACATCTTCTGACTGTGATACTTAAAAATCTTCTGACTGTGATACTTTAAAATCTTCTGACTGTGATGCTTTAACATCTTCTGACTGTGATACTTTAACATCTTCTGACTGTGATGCTTTAACATCTTCTGACTGTGATGCTTTAACATCTTCTGACTGTGATGCTTTAACATCTTCTGACTGTGATACTGAACATCTTCTGACTGTGATGCTTTAATATCTTCTGACATCTTCTGACTGTGATGCTTTAAAATCTTCTGACATCTTTAACATCTTCTGACTGTGACTGACTGTGATACTTTAAAATCTTCTGACTGTGATACTTTAACATCTTCTGACTGTGATGCTTTAACATCTTCTGACTGTGATACTTTAAAATCTTCTGACTGTGATGCTTTAACATCTTCTGACTGTGATGCTTTAACATCTTCTGACTGTGGTGCTTTAACATCTTCTGACTGTGATACTTTAACATCTTCTGACTGTGATGCTTTAACATCTTCTGACTGTGATACTTTAACATCTTCTGACTGTGATACTTTAACATCTTCTGACTGTGATGCTTTAACATCTTCTGACTGTGATACTTTAAAATCTTCTGACTGTGGTGCTTTAACATCTTCTGACTGTGATGCTTTAACATCTTCTGACTGTGGTGCTTTAACATCTTCTGACTGTGGTGCTTTAACATCTTCTGACTGTGATGCTTTAACATCTTCTGACTGTGATGGTTAGCTGATGGTCTCGGAAGTCATATTATTAGCTGAAAGTCTATTCAAGTTTTTTTTATAGCAGGTAGGTTTGTCTAGGTATAATCAGTCAATATAAGATTGGTCTGGTTAGTTCATGGGTGAGCCTGGGGAGTTCATTTTGTATGAATTATTTTTACTATGTTCAGGCCAAGATATACCATAAACTGTACAAATCAACCTGGAATACAAGGCAACCTTTTTTAGCTTGAAATTCTAAGTTAGGCCTATACCTGCTGTATAGGTTGCCTACAAATATGGTTGATTTTAGTGTCCCAAACTTAGGCGACAAATGTATTCCACTGAAACTTGTGTTTGGTGAACATATTTGATATAACAACACAAAAATTAGTTTAAAATAAAAAAAATATTGACCTAAATTTTGTGTTCTCTTAAAGCTATTATAACTAGAGCAGTACCGAATATTGGTGATTATCACTCTTCGACCGAATATGAATAACGGGACCAACTATTCAGCCGAATACCAATCTGAATAGTGTGTAGTGTATAAAATAAATCTTAAAAAACATTCATAATGTCAAATGTATGCTGAACTTTTACTTCACAAAATGTAGTACATAATAGTAAACATTTAAAAACATTCTATGTTCTGCATCCTGAAGTCAGTCTGTGGTAATTAATAACTAGGAATGAAAGTATTTTAAGTATTTACCAAGAAACTAGACTTTTAAACTGACACTGACAGCTTAGTTAATGCATGAAAGCTGCTTTAGCTTTAAACCAAATCATTCATTCTATGTTGTCAGTATTAAGGCAGTGTATGTAGAAGCAGGTGTAAGGTAACCACTATTCGTATTTGTACCGACCGCAAATATTCAGCCGAATAACGAATGGTTATTAGGTTCACTATTCGGCCTTGAAGCAAAAATAAAGCAAATGTTCAGGACAGCTCTAATTATACCAGGATAGATTTTGGCATACAATGATTGGTAGGAGTATTGTTCCACTTATTTATAGCTATGTGGTAAAGGTTTGCATTTTATATTCACCATATGTCAACAAGAAGATTTGCCGTGGTGTGGTGCATAGATGCTCGCCCGCAGTCAGGTGGTCATGGGTTCGGGTCATGATGGAGCTGGACATTTTTTTTAAAAATGACCTTGACTGCCAGGTTGACCCAGCCTTGAGTGGGTACAGTCACGGAAAGTAAAGGCGGTCAGCGTGATGCTGCCTCATCAGCCACCAATTGCCGATTGTTCTATAAAATATAGGTCTAGCTCTTTACGCCCCAGTATGCCTGAAGGATGGGAAAGGGGTCTTTGACTTGCTTGACCATTTGTCAACAACCCATTGTTTTGGAAATATTTTATCCGGCTTGAAAACTCCTCTTTTTACATTGCAATTTACAGTCAATTAATTACTTGTACGTCATAATATCTTAAATTATTGAAAACACGATGTCTTTATTGATTATTAATTTACTTGTTTTATTTACAATCTCCACAGGGACCAGATATTCTTGATGACAGCTCCGAACTCATCTACTCAGGAGAGTTAAACAAATCAACCATGCTGGCTGGTCTCAGGAGCGCTACTTCTTCCTGTTTGACCACCAGCTTATTTACTGTAAGAAAGATCTGTTGAAGAAAGCTGGGTTCTGCTTCAAGGGTCGGATCTGCATGGACACCTGTGAGGTCATCAATGTGGCTGATGGTCGAGGTGTGGTCACATTCTGTTTCTCTTGAAAACTTGTCTTCTTCATTTTTGCAACATTTCTGGAAGAGTAATGTTGACAGCGGCATAGTAGAAGTTACTAGACTTTCTTGACACCGTTCAGTATGCAGCCTAAAGTTCAGAATGAGCAAGTTAGATAGAAGTAAGCCTACCAAGTTCTTCAAACTCAATGCTGAACAGTTTGGATTAAAAGTACGTCTTCATCAGGAGTTTACCCACCTAGAGTTGTGAAACACTCCGGCAAACAGTAGAGTACATCCTATTAGGGCTGTACCGAATAGTGATTTTCACTGTTCGGCTGAATACGAATAGCAGGACCAACTTTTCGGTCGAATATGAAAACGAATAGTGTATCATCATCATCAGGGGCCTTGCCGACTGGGGTGGGCGATCATGCCTCACCACAGTCTGCGATCTCCTGCAGCATATATTAGTTCGTGTGCTGACAAACTTCAATGCCATGCAAAAAGACTGTCAAGAATCTTCTCTCGTTGTCTTCCTCTGTCCCTCCTTCCACAGATCTTTCCAGTGGTCACCACATGTTCCATTTTCCCTCTTCTCATAACATGGCCAAAAAATTATGACTGTCTCCTTCTGATGTCTGTGATTAGTTGTCTTCGGGCTCCCGCCTCTTTCAGAACCTCGAGGTTTTTTTTTTTTTTTTTTTTTTTTTTTTGCTGTCCAAGGTATTTTAAGCATTGCTTTGTAAAACCAAATCTCTGAGGCCTCAGGAAATTGTTTGGCCTGCCTACCAATTGTCTAGGACTCAGAGCCATTTGCTAAAACTGAATGTATGTAGCAAGCAAAAATTCTTTTTCTAACCTTTAATAACAAAGATATATTGCATAAGATGTTCTTCATTTTATAAAATGCAGTTTTTGCCTGTCCTATTCTGATTTTTATTTTAGTAATGCACTTTCCATCTGATGTTATTTATGTGCCCAGATACTTGAATTTCTGTACTTGTCCCAAAATAACACCATTGACTTTTATTACACATTTAGGAATAATTTTTTTCTTTGATACCACCAGTACTTTTGTCTTCCCACTATTCAAACTGAGGCCAATTCTTCCACTTTCGAATAGTATATAGTGTATAAAATAGATCTAGAAAAAAAAAACATTCATAATGTCAAATGTACGCTGAAATTTTACTTCACAAATTGTAGTACAGAATAGTAAATTTTTAAAAACATTTTATGTTTTGCATCCTTCAGTTAGTCTGTGGTAACTAATACCTAGGAATGATAGTATTTTTAGTTTTATAACATGTAACTAAACTTGTAAATTGTCACTGATAGCTTAGTTAATGCTCGAACCGACTTAGGCAACAGCAACTATGGCAGTGTATACAGAAACAGGTGTAAGGTAAACCATTATTCGTATTAGGCCGAATACCAAATAGTATAGGTCCACTATTTGGCCCTGAAGCGAATACAAAGCGAATATTTGGTACAGCCCGACATCCTATAATACTAATCACATTTTCCCAGATGGAGAAAGAGAAAATCTGACCCACCATAGAAGACAAATTGTGAGGGACCTGAAGACATTCGTTCTATATACTCCTAATGTTTTAACTGGTGTTGCCACTGTCTGATTTTTGTATTTATTACTGAATTTTGTATGCCTTGATTGTTTTGGATACTGTTCTATTTGTGATCATTATTCTAAATTTTTTTCTTAAGCGTCCGTGGCTTACACGTTGCGAGTCCGACTCGTAATTCCAACGTTCCGTGATCAAAACCCACTGCTGGCTGCGTGGATTTTTATGGTATGGGGCATCGCAGGTTGACCCAGCCTAAAATGGGTACCTAGATTGCTGTCCTGGGAAAGTAAAGATGGCCGGCGTAGTGCTGACCACATTACCCACAGAGTGCTGATGGTCTATAAAAATATGGACGCTTTTCCCCTTTACCCGATACGCCTAAGGGCGTGAAAAGAGATCTTTACTTTTACAATACTGATTTATGTTTCAGAGCCACAGTACAATGTGACTGTGAGAAATGCCTGGAAGCTTCGTGATAGCCACAGTGACAAGTGGTATTTATTAGTTGCCAAGACAACTGTTGCCAAACAACGGTGGCTGAAGGCTTTCCAGGATGAAAGAAAACGTGTTAAGGATGACACAGAAAATAGTAAGTAGAAATGCTATTTTTAAAATGTACTTTAAAAAAAGGAATAAGTTTAAAAACAAATGTTCTTTAAAACTTGATAATGGGGACAGCTATTTTAAATTCTCTCTTATTTTTTGTAACAAATACAGCCATATTAGTTTGAGTGGATGGATAATGATGGGCATCTTCTGCCTTCCACTTGCAATGCAGAAAAGTCCCTCAGCAAACTCACTCCAAGCCCATTGTAGACTTTTTCTCCATTAGTTGAATTTTGCAGCATGTTTTCTAGGGAATGAAGTGGACATTTTTGGTTGTTCATCCACTTCTGGACTGCAGTCCTGTTTGAGAACCGGAGTGTTGCATGTGCATCCTTTTTATAGATCTGCCTCATTTATTTTTATGCAGATTGCTGGTTCCTTGCCTCTCAGGCAGATGCTCTTCAACTGTGAAGGAAAATAGCCAGTAAAGTGTCCATTTTAACAGCCCATAAGAGAGGAATAGTGGCCCAATGAGTCAACGTATACTCAAAAAATATACTCTCTGTCTCTCTCATTTTCTCTCTGTCTCACACATGCACACACACACGCATGCACAGACTCACACATGTATGTTTTCTCATAAGAACTATGTGTAAATCAAGCATGCTATCACAAGAACAAAGTAGAAGAAGGTAGCTGGTCTTATGCCAACCCTCATAGTTTATAATGTTACTGTTCTTTACCTTCCAAAGGGCTACAGTAAGAACTAGGTGAAGTCATATGTGCAAGACTGCAAAATCTGTTTTAAGCACCCAGTTGTCTAAGTTTATCTGGGTAAAGATTTGACATCACAGCTTCCAGGACAAGCCCATATTAGCCTTGTCCCCATCATTAACAACCAACGAAAAGTCTGCATGCTGATGATACCAATTGTCATCTGGTTAAGTACTCATCTTGCGTTTCCCTTGAGTCTCGAGTGGCACACATAGAGCCTGCAGACACTCCCTGCTGCAGTATTCTTTCCAGGTGCATGTTTTCAGTGTCTTTCACTTTATTTATTACCTTGCCCAACAGGTAGGAGATCACCTCTGCCTTGAGCAGTTGCAGTACACTCCCTTCCACACACCCCCCCCCCTCCTCTGTGGGGCCAGTCAACATATCTGCCTACTCATTCCCAGACAAACCTGAGTAGCCTGGTCATGTGATTCTCAATATCTGCAACCTCTGGATTGATGTAACCCATTCCATTGGAAGAAAACCTGACTCCACCCTCCTGAGGATGTGTTGGGAATCTGATACTATGATGACATGTGTATCTGATATTGTCTCCACCCACTGGCATGCTACAGCTACTGTCTCAACATCCATTCTCATGCTGGATGTGGTCATGTCATATGTCAAGCTTTTTTCAGTCTAACTTCTCTCCTGTGCTTTCACAATGAAGCCCCATCAGTTATTTTTTTTTTTAATCACAGGCCAGTGTTATTTATAGGAGAGAAGCAAGAAACAAACATAAACAAAGAAAGACAAAAATGTATCAAAGGCAAGAGGATGAAATTCATTGTGTCTAGTGCTATCCCATATGGTTTGGTCTGTCACCAAGAACATTTTATTGCCCACAAACATGTCACATAAAGCACTAATTCTGTAACTCCAGCAGTGACCCCTACAGATCTGAGAAAACCCTGCACTTACTAACTGAAGGGCAGTCTGAAAGTGAACCCACAACCTCAAGAGCATGAGGCAGATGTCTGAATTAACCACTTTGCCACAGACTGCAAAGAAGAACAGACAGAAAGAAGCATATGTATTTAAGACCGACTGAACTGTTAACATTTGTGTGTTCACATCTTCCTCAGATTTCAACATTCCCTTTCATGTGAAGCAGGCAGTGATTACCAACTTCAAGCAGAAGAACACCATCCAAAAACCAAAAGGTAATACCAATTAGCTGGCATTGAAATTCAATCCAGTTTTCATATCCCGTTTGAGACTTCACTCTTTAAGTCTCAAGGAACGCATCATATGTTCATAGTTCCTACCTAGAAGCTCACTGAACCCATGATGTGCTGATATTATGTCTCTCTTTACTACCCCTTGGGCCGGTGATGCTAAACTCTCTAGGACATGTCAGAAACTCTGTGAAAAGTAACTATCATAAGTATGCTTTAACTCATGAATATATTTTAGATACTTTAAGATTGATTGATTGATTTGATTCAAGAACCAACATCACAGCACCCGGGGCATTCCCATAAGCGCTCCGTCTCCATCTTCAGCAGCCAGCGAAGAGTTCCGATACTAATGGTGCCAGTAGCTTTCTGATTAAATGTCCGTCTTGCCTTTCCTCTGAGCCTTGAGCTTCTGCCAGAACCTCTCGTCACCCCCAACTGCATCAATCTCACCAAACTGTGGTGATCCATCTGCTACTCCGCATTGTACACGCTCTCCCACAAGGCACTAACCACGTATGCCCTATCATGTAGCAATATTCCACCAAGTTGTGCAGAGCCAGCCAGTCTGTCCGCCTGTTCATTTCCCAACACACCGGCGTTACCCGGTGAAAAAATCCAGACAATACTCCTCACTCGTGTCCTCCGCAGCGAAGCATGCCACTCTGCACGAAGCCTACCTGTTCTGATCTTCCTCAGCATTCTTTCTGAATCAGTAACAATCATGATGTGTGTGTGTGTGTGTGTGTGTGTGTCGTGTTCTCTAGCCAGTTGAAAGCTGCAGTGACCGCCTCCACCTCCATTCTTAAGCTGGATGTTGTGGTATCATATGCTAGGCTCTGCTGCACCAAATGTCGACCATTAACTTTTGCTAAAAAGCCCCAAGCACTTTTTTTGCCTCTTGACACTGAACCGTCTGTGTAAATGATCAAATCCTCTGAGCGAGCATTATCTTGAATTAATTGCTGAATTTCCACCTCTGTGGCACCTGCTGGCCAGTCTCTGCATTCCCGGCTCAGCGAGATTATGACTCTACACAAGTCTGACTGCTCAGGTGGCACTTTGACCCACTCCTCTCCTCGCCTAATGTTCTCAAGGATGACCTCCCTCGTATCAGCCGCTGACCCTTAACTGCACCCAGAGCTTCATGCAGAGGGTGGTAGATACTTTAAGATAATGCTAAAATTATAGATTATTTCAGGGTCAGAATTGAAAAGAAAAAAAAAGAAATGAGAGACAAGAGAATCAGCTTTATAAAACCATGCATTATCCTATATTGCTGAATCTCTCCTTATAGGGCAGCTGTTTGCCTACCAAGAATAGTTGATGGTAATTTGGCTATTATACAGGATTTGTTCAGGATAACTTTCCTTTTATAAAAGATTAGGTGAGGTTCAGTTGGTTATTATAAAAGATTAGATGAGGGTAACTTGACTGTTGTGGAAGATTTGCTGAGGGTAACGACCATTATAAAAGATAAGTTAAAGTTAACTTGACCTTTAAATAAGATTAGCTAAGGGTAATGACTATTATATAATATTTGTTGAGGGTGATTTGACTGTTATAAAAGATTAGTTAAGGGTAACCTGACTATTATAAAAAGATTAGTCGAGGGTAATAGCCATTATACAAGATTAGATAAAGGTAACTTGACCTTTACAAAAGATTAGTTGAGGGTAACTTGACTGTTATAAAAGATTAATTGAGGGTAACTTGACTACTATAAAAGGTTAGTTGAGGTAACTTGACTTAAACAAATTAATTGAGAGTAATTTGACTGTTTTAAAATATTAATTGAGGGTAACTTGACTATTATAACAGATTAATTGAGGGTAACTTGACTGTTAAAATAGATTAGTTGACTGTTATAAAAGACTAGCTGAGAGTAATTTGACTATTATAAAAGATTAGTTGAAGGTAACATCACTGTTATAAAATATTAGTTGAGGGTAACTTGGCTGTTATAAAAAATTAGTTGAGGGTAACTTGACTGTTATAAATGATAAATTGAGGGTAACTTGGCTGTTTTAACAAAATTAGTTGAGGGTAACTTGACTATTTTAAAGATCAGTTAAGGGTAACTTGACTATTACAGAAAAATATATGAGGGTGACTTGACTGTCATAGAAGATTAGTTGCGGGTAACTTGACTGTCATAAAAAGATTAGTTGAGGGTAACGACTATTATAAAAGATTAGTTGAGGGTAACGACTATCACAAAAGATTAGTTGAGGGTAGCTTGACTATCACAAAAGATCATTTGAGGGTAATGACTATCACAAAAGATTAGTTAAGGGTAACTTGACTATCACAAAAGATCAGGTGAGGGTAATGACTATTATAACAGATTAGTTGAGGTTAATGGCTATTATAAAAAATTAGTTAAAGGTAACTTGGGGCTATCCTCCGAATAACGGGCACAAAAGTTGGCTGCCGCAAAACATCCTAACAGAGCCTCAGTCACACGTCAATTGCGCACTTCCGGCGACTTAATTTGCGGTTTTCCGGCGACTACCACCATGAGGACTAAACTAGATGGCTGGGACTCATGAGCAGCAGCTTCCGCATCTCCTGCAGCTTTGCTCGTAAGTCCCAGCCATCTAGTTTAGCCCCAATCCACGCCGCTTGAGTGGCGTGGGGATACTCTCGGCGGTGGCGGTAGTCGCCAGAAAAACCGCAAATTAAGTCGCCGGAAGTTCGCATTTGGCATGTGGCTTAGGCTCTGCTTTTGGCCGCCATTGGCCGCTATCTTTTGTGCCCGTTATTCGGAGGATAACCTAACTTTTTTATGGTAAAAAGATTGCTGAGGATAGCTTAGCTATTATGAAAATTTGTTAAGGTAACTTGGATATTATAAAAGATAATTATTTGTAACATAGCCTGAAAGGATATGAACCAACAGTCTGCATATAAAAGAGTTAAATCTGTAAAATGGATGTGCATGCAAAGCTCAAGTTCTTTGGGCAACTTGGCTATAATAATAGTGTAATTGTGTATAATCATGCTGTTTTTAAAGCAATTCATTGGTTATCTGGCAATTTCAAAGGGGTCTTCACAAGAAAAAACAGGGAGAAACTCTAGCCCATCCACCAGCAGACTAGCAGTGGTACTAACTGCCAGAAAAGTAGAAGTGATATTTTTTTTTAAAAAAAAATCAAACCTAATATGCTTGTATTTTGTCATTTAAGATATCATTCTATCACATATTTGAATTGCGATGTTTCAGGGATTTTATTCTGGCTGACTCGAAGTTATGACAGGTGATATATTAAAATGTCATCCCAAATACAATATTTAATCAATGCAATAATCTGTTATAAAAGAATGGGTAGTGATTGGTTTCAGTGTTTAAATCAAATTATGTTTAGTTATTGACTTCAGAAAAAAATTGAAATGCAGAAATGTGAGGATGCACTTGACACTACAATGCAAGTGTGCTTGGGAAAGGAGTCATAGTGGTGTGTTGATATGAAACTGGCTTACAAATTCATAAACATCTTACACACACATTTTTCAGATAGATGTGATGTTCCATACAGTTTGACACTTGATGATGTTGGGGTAGTTTTATCTTTTTCTGAAAACATTAATCTATTTTTTGGGAACCAATCAGTACCTTTTGTTAAAATGAATTAATCACTGCTAATGACCTCATCAATTCCCCTGTATCCCCCAGTATTACTGTATACCCTCAAATAATTGTCTATAGAAACACCTAATCTAACAAGTCTAATCTCACCTTATCATCAGCATCGTCATTATCATCATACAACAGGTCCTTTGCAGACAGAACATTGATCTTATACTGACCTGCCAGAAAAACTCCCATCTCCTGGCTTTATGTAAATTCATGTCCATTTGGTCAGCTATATCAACTATCAGCTCGTGATTGTAGGAGCTTTGCAGTGTGATTGTGACTGTCATGAGAACTTGCCTGGTTGTGTGATCATCTAAAGAGTGTAGTGTAGCACTTTAACTGTAGCAACTGGTTGTGTTATATCTGGACTATGGCACTTACTCAGATCTCAGGAATTTACATGTAACATTGTGACACTTATGCTGTATTTCACACATGACTCTAGTGAGTGTCTGTCAGATACTAATGGTGATAATGTAACACATAATATATCAACCGCCTTAATATTTTATGTCCATGGCAACTGCCTATAGTGCTCTAATGTCTGTAGCAATTTTCTGCAGTATAATATATTTCTCTGTTTCAGCAAGTTATTATTATTTTGGAGATGAAATCAAATGTGCATGCATCTTTCAGATGTGTCAGTTATTTGGTTAATTCTCATCCTGTAGTGGCATAGCAGATAGTCACTGCACTGAATTGGTGGCTCACTAGTCTCAGTGAGTCCTCAGCTGAGAAAATATATTTTCATCTGAATGCACATGAGGCTGAAGTAAATTTCTGGAGTCTATAAAACTAGTAAGAGAGATAAGGAATAAAAATACTGTGAATATGGGAATCAAATTTTTTGACCTAATGATCAAGAATAGTTTTGTTACATAACAACTCTATAATAAAAAATCTGTGATTGCAAATGTGACCCTTATTATCTACTTCTTGCTTCTATTTATTTTGGCTCAATGATCAAAAATAGTTTTCTTACATACCAACTCTGTAATAAAATCTGTGATTGCAAATGTGTTCCTTATTATCTACTTTTTGCGTCTTTTCTTTTTGGCTCAGTGATCAATGCTTTTTTTTCTCTCCCTGGTCATTGAATGGCAGAGTAAACATTACACTTGGTGGATCAGACTTAGTGACACAAATACAATACATTTTGTATAATTTGCAAAGCTGTTCATATTTACTTCTCTACTTCTCTATCTCCAGGATTCTGTATCAGAATGTGTTGTCTCCCTGTTTTCCATTGGAATCCACTGATTGCCAGTTCTAATAATGTATCAGAAATCTGTCCAGTCCATTGTTGCCATCTTCTAGTTAAAATGGTGCAGATGTCTGCAGGCTCTTTATAAGCGGTTCTTCGTGTAAATAGTATTTGTCCATGAAATAGAAAGAATTTTCTTAGGCAAGTAGTATGGAAAAAATGACACTTTGGAATAGCTGGTCCCATTTCAAGTCCCAGTATTCAATATCATACAGAAGAAGTATATAGAATACTAGGGCTGTACCGAATATTTGCTTCGTATTTGCTTAGGGGCCGAATAGTGGACCTATTTACTATTTGGTATTCAGCCGAATAGTTGCGGTCGGGCCGAATACGAATAGTAGCTACCTTACACACGCTTCTGCATACACGGCCCTAATACTGACAACATAGAACGATTGGTTTTGTTGAAAGCTAATGCAGCTTTCATGCATTAACCAAGCTGTCAGTGACAATTTCCAAGTTTAGTTACTTGTTATAATACTTAGGATTCTTTCATTCCTAGTTATTAGTTACCCCAGATTGACTGAAGGATTCAAAACATAAAATGTTTTTTAAATGTTTACTATTCTGTACAAATACTAACTAGACATGGAAAAAATATAAACTCCCACCACATCCAAGTCGATAATATGAAAATCAAACGAACGGAAACATATAAGTACTTGGGTGCAAACTTCAAATGTTCCAACATGCTGAGAGAAGAAATACAATCTAGAACACAATCTAGAAATAAAGTATACAATGCCCGTTCAACATCTGCTAAAGTCAAAGTTCTGTCTCGCAACAAAAAGATAAAAATATATAAAACATTGATAAGACCATTCGTTTTATATGGCTCTGAAACTTGAAGCAGAAATAAAAGAGATGAGGCCTTATTACAGGTTTTCGAAAACAGTCTTACAACAAATCTTTGGGACCCATGAAAGATGCTAACAGCGGAGAATGGAGAGTGAGAAGCAACAACATAACACCTAATCTGTTTAAATCACCATTAATCACTGGCATCATGAAAGCTAACAGACTAAAATGGTTGGGGCATATTGAAAGAATGTCAGATGACAGAGAAGTAAAACTGTGTACACCTGAGAAAGGAATGGGCGAAGACCACGAGGCAGACAAAAAAGAAGTTCGAGAGATAATGTCCAGTCAGACCTGCAAACAAATGGTGTGACAAATTGTGAAGAGAAGGCCAGCCAGAGAGATAAATAGAGACGAGTGATATCTGCAGCAGTAAACCTCAAGGGCTCAGAATGCTAAAGAAAGATGACTATTCTGTGCTACTTTATGTGAAGTAAACGTTCAGCGTACGTTTGACATTATGAATGTGTGTGTGTTTTTTTAAAGATATATTTTATACACTATACACTATTCCTAATCGTATTCATATTCGGCCGAATAGTTGGTCCCATTATTCGTATTCGTCCGAATAGTGAAAATCACTATTTGGTACAGCCCTATAAAATAAACAACTTTTATACACATGGAATCTGATGTGTGTGTTGTGCTGAGAAGATTCCCACATGTTGTTTGGGCTGACAAAGAGCATTCTTTTATTGTTATTTCAACAGCTGATATCAGTGCTAGCTTTTAAAGCTTTAAAAATCTATTAATTTCAATGGCAATTAGCATGACTGTCTGGGCATTTTTTGTTTGCTGTCTTACATTTGTCCATATATTTCAGATAGTGTTTGACTCATGTATGGTGCATGTACAGCTAGTTACCTACTAATATTTCACACTATATATTATTATTTTTAAAATATACAATTTTTAGAGCTCCTGTCTGACAAATGTAAGTTCACAAACAAACCATCTTAGGACAGCAGATGTATACTTGCCTTGTGAAGGCCGCAGTCATGTGCGATAAATTCCTCTTTGCTACAGGCTGGCTGAGCATAGATGGTGGTGAAGTCCGCAGTCATGTGCGATAAATTCCTCTTTGCTACAGGCTGGCTGAGCATAGATGGTGGTGAAGTCCGCAGTCATGTGTGATAAATTCCTCCTTGCTATAGGCTGGCTGAGCATAGATGGTGGTGAAGTCCGCAGTCATGTGTGATAAATTCCTCTTTTCTATAGGTGGTGGTTAAGTCTGACCTAACTTTTGACAAATTTATTATTTTATTTCCAGTGAATGTGTAAGGTCTTTTGTCAGTTAGAAAAAAATCAGATGATGTTGATTTGAACCTAAGACTTTACAGCCAGCAGGCGAGCATCTAGCCACTGCACTACAGCAGCTGCTAGGACTGCTTTGTGGTCACTTTGTTTTTGTATTCTTATCTTTGTACTTTTTGTCTCCTCAGGTAAAGGTCATTTGTCACGAGCAAACACAGCTGAGGTGATCAATTCCATTAATAGAGTCAATGCCATCGCCACTTTACCACGGACCAAGAATCGTCACAAAGTGAAATCTGAAGCAGCACTGGACACCAGCAAAATAATGAAATGGTTTTTCTTTGGTAAAGGCAAGACTTGATGATGGATATCAGCCATAGTTTGTAGAAGAGGAAACTGATCAGGGACAAAACATAAACTTCTGTACTAGTTTGCTCACATGTTCTTTGTGGTAGCTGGTCACTGTTCTGAGCCGACATTTGAAGATAAGGGTATCATTACCGACATTTGAAGATAAGGGGATCATTACCGACATTTAAAGATAAGGGGATCATTACCGACATTTGAAGATAATTGTTCTTCTAGCGTGAAGACATCTTTCATGTTTTTCTAGCATGAAAGTATCATTGCTCTTCCAGCATAAAGACATTGTGTGTCATTACAAGATGTTTTTCTAGCATAAATACATGATAATTGTTTTTCTAGCAATGAAGACATGATGATTGTTTTTTTAGCATAAAGACATCATGATTGTACTTTTAGCATGAAGACATTATGATTGATCTCCTACCAGTACATTACTGCTGTTACTGAGATACCATTACCATCCTACCAGTGAGGGATTATTATCACTATATCAGAGAAAATTATTACTATTCCATCACTGAAGAATTAAAATTGTCCTTCAACAAAATAGTCAGTGTTCCTTCATATTCAAGGAGTCAGGACAGCCAGTCGTGGATCTAACACCCAGTGTTAAACCTGGGATGTGGGAAAACAGCACAGTGTGAACCTTGTCACTAAACTCAATTCCAGATAGCAGCAGTATATCCTGATGCTTTTCAGTGCTGGAGTCTTTGAAGCTTAGAAAAATATTCCTTTAATAGAATACCATGGTGTAGTGGTTAGGGAGCAACATTGCCAGGAATTAGTGCATTTCAGACCAACACAATGAGCTTTACAGCACAAATAAAACATAAATGTGGGTATACAATGAAAATACATGTCCTGAGTACAATGATGATAACCCAGATAAAAAAATTACTTGTACAATTAAAATAGATGTTCGATAACAGAAAGGAATCTCCTTGACCAGAGCAACACACCTCATACAAGAAAGAAGACAGTGTGAGACTAAAAGCATAAAAAGGACTTTATTGCTTTTAACTAAAGATGTGAATGTTCTTCCTTGTAAAAAGGAGTCACTGAGATAATCTTTTTAAAGATGTGCCAAACATTCATGTCACAGTAATGTTATTCCCTGCAAGAAAGTGCTAATTGATTTTTTAACATTCATTTATGATTTATTGATGCATGACAAGACAGTTGTGGCAAAGGCTTTCTGGGAGCACATGAACGACATGAAGAGGTGAATATATCATCAAAATCAGTAAGGAATTATGCAGCAGGCAATGACCAGAGTAAATGGCTGGCATTCAAGGCTCAGAGAAGAGGTAAGATGGACATATAATCACACTTCATCTGACCCACTGGCTGCTGAAGATGAGGAGGCAGCACTTACTACAATATCTAAAGTGCTGTGATATTAATTCATAACTCAGCTCAATAGTAATGTTTCCTGTGTGGGTTCTGGGTTCATATTTTTGTGGGGGAAAGAATGCACTGACTGCCTCCCTCCCAAGCAAGCATGTCGTACAGGCGACTTATCAGAAGTGGTTTATTCGAAGTCTGAGTACATCAGTCTGAGACGAGATTAACCAACAGTCTGCATACAAAAAAGCTAGATCTGTAAAATGGTTGTATATGCAAAGCTCAAGTTATAAAATTGGACTGGGGGTCCAGAAGTGAACAAACAACCAGAACTTTCTGCCAAAGCTAACAGCTATTGAAGATGAAGAAGAAGAAATAGTAATGTTATCGGTTGAATGTTTTTGAAGAAAGACACTAACTACTAACTTTATTGCCATACTGTAAACTATTTATATGATATACAAGCTAATTGTATGACCATTTCACAATCTGTCCTGAATTTATAGCTGTACCCCAAGCTATAGTACTCATTCCAACGTTTACACAAACCCAGATTTGAATCCTGATACCTGCTTTTGCTGTTTTATGAATTTATTAGTCTTCTGAAAAATAGGATTAGAGAATAGTTGAGATCAGGTTTGCTTGGGGTGAGTCCCTTTGTAAGGGTTTTAATGTGCACAAACTCATCTTGACAATTTTATCATGTTACTTGTGAGCACACTTGTACTAAAAGATATTTAATGATGCCTGGGTCTCATCATACATTTTGGCAGATTAGATGGAGCTTTGTGTCCATCACAGAACCAACCACATGTTAAAACCGGGACCAAACATCTTAACAATTAAATCACATACTGAAGCATGATCACCCATTTTCACAACTAAATCACTAATTGAAATGGGAACAGCAATCTTTACAATTATATCACATATAATCACTGAATCAACCACATGTTGAAACTGGGACCAACCATCTTCACTGTTAAATTACATATCAAAACATGATCAACCATTGTCACAACTAAATCACTAACTGAAACTGGGAATAACCATCTTTACAACTAAATCACATATTTTCACAGAATCAGTCACATGTGGAACTAATAACATTGAATAGGGAATCTTCACAATTAAATCACTGGGTACAATTTGAAGGGAAAAAACCCATTTCCTCAACTACATTTCATTTCAAAACTGGCACAAACCATTTTCACAACTAAATCACAATTGAAATTGGAACCCACCATCTTCACAACTAAATCACATATTAAAACTGGAACCAACCTTCCTGCACAGCTAATCCATATTGACATGGTAAACAGTAACATCTACAACTTAACACACACAAAATCATGAAACATTCAAATTTGGGATCAATCACACTGTAATCATTTAAACTGGAAATAACCACATTTGGAATTAACTGTTTATTAAATGATTACCAATATCATCTAGAACTAATCATACGCGATGTCATCTGGAACATATGTCATCTGGAACATTCACATCTAGCAGATGGAGCCCAGAGGAAGTCATGTATTACACATATGCAGTCAGTGGGTGTTAGAGTGGTGCATAATGAGATCTGATGCTTTCCCATCAAATATTAAGAGACCAAATTATATGGGGACTTCCATGGTATAGTAATGATATATTTTCTCATGGATGTCCGTCTTCAATCTCTCTATGAGGCTTCTCAAAAACTAACGTACAACAAATAAAGAAAATCTGTATGTATGTACATATATATATATAAAGTATGAATGTTTTATGTGACTAAATAATTGAATGTAATTTTTTTTTAACCTAAAACTTATGCAAATCATTCATTTTTTGTGTTAAACCTAGCTGCAACTCTCTTTATTCATTGGCAAGAATTAATTGTTCTTTCTTGTTCTAATGTCTTTCATGTTCATGCTATGCAGTATGTCTTCTGGCGTTTAATGATCAGTGTTTGTGTTAGCAAAAGTATAGGTAGATTACTGTATGTCAGGTTTTATTGATCTTTTTTGTGTGAGCAACAAGTGTAGTCAGATCAGTGTGTGCCAGCTTTTATGATTCATTTTCGTATGAGCAGCAAGTAAGACACATGACTGTCTTCAGCTAGCTGGTTTTAAGATAGCACACCTACCTTCATACGTGAAGATCTAGAGTTCACTCCAACCTGAGGTAGTCTATTACCTCACAGTTAACTCATGTAGTCCGAGCCACTTAGGAATTGCATTAGTACAGTGCTAGATAAACCAAAACAGGCCAGGGGTCTTCTGTTAAATGTGCAGAAAACATTGATTTAAAAAACAATAATCCAGCCTAATATGGACACAGAGTCAAACCCCAGGCGTTTAGGGCAGCTATATGATACTTGCACACTGGGTGCCAATGAAAATATGGGTCTAGCTCCCCTGACCTGATGTGCCAAGAGTCATTTACTGTTACCAAACAACTCCCCAGACGTTTCAACACAGTGTTGACTCTTCTCCACACCTAGTTCATCTCATCTAGTTGTTACCCTAACCAACTCTGTCCCAGTCTGCACTTTAACTACTTTAGTCCTATGGTGTTATTTTAATCATTCAAACACAAAGGGGATTGTTGGAAACAGCAACAGTTTGAAATAGAACAAGTAAGAGAAACACCTTCTGGAGATGGAAACAGTTAAAGCAGCATTTTCTGCTATTGTAACTTTCTTAAATGTTTCTATGTTCATCATGATTTGATAAGTATGTAAGTTTTAACTCATCTAGCACATACACAGTAATAAACCTGACATATAAAGCTCATTATAAATGTGTTCTTAGTTAATACATTCTGATCTCGACACACATTTCAGCTCAGTTTGATTGATACCTTCAAGTAAAGCTGACTTGAAGAGGTTGAATTCTTTCTGATCTAGACACACATTTCAGCTCAACCCCCGTGTGGGATCCGGGGCCCCATTGTAAGGGAAAAAAAGAATAGACCCACTGCCTCCCCAAAAGCATGTCGTAAAAGTCGACTAATTGGGGAGCTTCCTTTGAAGTCGGAGTGCATCTGCCGCAGAGGCAAGGAACCAATCAGTCTGTATAAATGTTTAGAGAATGAGATCTGTAAAACTGATGCACACGCAACACTCAGGTTCTGGAGCAGGACTGCAGTTCAGTAGTGGACGAGCAACCAGAACTTTCCGCCAGAATGTACAGCTGGTGAACTTGAAGAAGAAGAAGAAGAAGAAGATTTCAGCTCAATTTGATTGATACTTTCAAGTAAAGCTGACTTGAAGAGGTTGCATTTATTGTGTTGTTATAAAGTGAATATGAAATGGACATTAAAAGTTCACTAAAAGGCATTACAATTTTTTAGACTTCCACTGTGTGCCAGACAAAAGTTAAAATCTTCACTGCCAGGCTTACTATGATATTACTCTTTTACATTCAGTAAGTAATTCCTGACAGAGTGTGAGTTGTGGTCATGGTAATATTTCATAAGAAAATCCTCTCAAAACAGTCTTTCAAATATGCTAATGAAATGTCACCAGTGTTGTGCAGTTCCTGTAATTGAGGTCAGTCAAACAGAGTTATTTTTCTTTAAATTGCAAATTTAAGGACAAACTGGCAAATTGCCTCAAATACCTATAAAATAGGTGGTAATTACATTCAGTTTTTGTATAGACTT